TTAATATCCCCTTCCCTTCATTATCACCAGAGGGTGGGGGTCAAGGTGGTTCAGAACCTCATATAAATAAATATCTATACATAAAAAAATAAAATTATAAATAATTCATGATGTCAAAAAATATATAAATTAAAGGAGACTCAGTTCATAACATAATAACAGTTAATAAAATAATTCTTAACAAAAGTGAGTATAATATGTTTTTGTTACAAAATTATAACATATCTATCGTCCTAATTGTCTTCAAAACATTAATTTTCCTCTTCCTCATCCTTTTCATTTTCATTTTCATTTTCATCTCTCTCTTCTTCTTCCTCTTTAATGCATCGTCGTATGGGCTGATTGGACAAAATTGCGAGCCACCTTCACAATCCTCACTGCCACTGCATAGCTCGAACCCTAGCCACCAAACCACTGTGCTTCCTCTCCAACTTGCACCGCCCACTGCACTTCTCCTCATTCACATCACATGCGGGCCCCATCTCATCTCAAGTGACCCCAATTAAGGTTAGGTTAAGATAGAAGTTTAAAAGGGGTATGGGCTAAGGAGATGTGGACTTAAGTGGGAGAGGGCCCAATATCTATTTGGGAGTAAAAATAGGTTTCAAATAGTGAAGCGAATTAATTTTTGTGGCCAACAAATTGATAGAAGACTTTTCTGTCAATGGTGTAAGTTAGATTAAAAAAACATATTTTATTTGGGTTTGAGGGTGAAAATAATAAAATAGGTCAAATAGTAAAACAAATCTGAAAGTATTTTTTGAATTATTGGACCTAATATTTTTTTATTTGTTTATTTTTTATGTTAAACTTAAGATAACATGAAAAAAAAAACAAGTTACAAAAATAGTAATGGATCTGAAATATTTTTTTTATTCAAATTTCAAATAAAAATGATTCCATTTTTAAAGGATTTAAATTATTATATCATTATTAGTATATTGATAATTAAATTTCAATAATTATCATTTTCTATCCTCGAATATTATTTTATAGAATTATTAAATATGCAATACTATTATTATTAGAGTAGTAACAAAATATTTCATAAAAAGTTAACCACATTGTATGTACATCTTATTTGGTTGTCATAAAATTATAATAATCACTTTAAATGTATTTTTGACTCAATTATAATAAAATACTTTTAAATATATATATATATATATATATATATATTAAATCCAAATAGTAATTATAAATATAATAATTTAAATATGTAAATATTAATTATTACTTTGAATGTACTTTCGATTTAATTATCACTCAAATTATAAAAATAATAATAATTTTATATGCACTTCTAATTTGATTATTACATAATTATTCAACTTTAAAATAACTCCGGACATACATTTAACTTAGTAATACAAATAGACAAATTAAAATAAATTATTCACAAATATTTTCGAGAAAGAACTATGTCACTCTGATTGTCCATTACACCTGGGGATACGTAGGAGCAGAGAAATAATCTCAATTGAGTAAAAAATATAAAAGTATATAATTTTATTTTTTTAGTAGTAACATTTAATAGAAATATAAATTTGAGGGATAAAATAGATAATTTTAATATATTTAACTTTTCACGTCTAATTAAAGGTAAGCGTTTTTTAGAATGGATGTTGTAGGGTGTTAATACCTTCCTTACATATAATAAACTCTCAAATCGAACTTTTGTTTCACAGACCCTTCTTTTTTTCTTTAAAATATTTTTTTCCAATATTTTCCTTAAAATAAATATTGGGGTAACTCCATTGTTTTCTTTCATTTAGAAACTTAATTTTGTTCTTTAGTCGCGATTTTGATTGCGACAGATGACGACTCCACTTGGGACTATTGAGTCAAGCCTATCATGAGTAGAGGTAAAAAAAAAAAAAGCTGAAAACTTTTATTATTTGTTGAATCCCTCCTTCTCTAGCTTTATGTGTGTGTGTTTATGTGATTTTATCCTCACTTCTTCATTATAAATATATTTGCTTCAATAAAATTTTAGGATAGAAGACATGTTCCATTTGTGTATTTCTTGTTTGTTTTGCAGGTAGTAGTTTAGGACTAGCCTCTTCACACACTACACTTACATTTATTCACACACTTATGAGTGAGGTCATATACCTGGGCCTAATGTAACCTAGGGAGTGAAAGGCAATTAGTAGTGTCATTTTGAATGTACTTTCAATCTGGTAATCATGAAAGTCTTATCTAGAGCGTGACTCTTTCGTAAGTGCCTACATCTTGGATGTACTTCCAATTTATAGTCAAACTGAGACAAGTACTAAGCTCTAGAGACCAAGAAAGCTTTAGATATTTGACTACCTTTTGATAAGACCCACTTGCTAGAGAAATCTTAAGACACTATGGGGCATCTTTGTCCATATCCACCACTCTTTCTTTTTCATTACTTTCTCATGTTACATATTTTACATTAAGAACATAATAATTTCTCAACAATTCTTTTCATTATCATATTTGCATGCATCATTTTATACTCATTCATTCTTATTTTTGCATTAAATAGGTGTATTGGAGAATAGTAAACATTAAAGTTTAATTTAGAGTAGGTGAAAAAAAAAACAAGACATGGGGTCGAGTTGTTAGAGAAAAGAGATAATTTATGTGAAAGTTAAGATGTCTAATGTTCAATTTTGACAACCCTACAGTAGTTTGGTGAAAGGGGTTAAGCATGTAGCTTTCACGAAGAAATATGGAAATATCTTGGATTGATTAGAGCTCAATGTGCAAGTGGAGGTCATCTCAGCATTAACACAATTTTATGGTCATCCTTTGAGGTGTTTTACATTTTGTGACTTCCAATTGGCACCCACGTTGAAAGAATATGAGCAGATTTTAGGGATATCATTGAAAGATAGCAAACCTTACAACTATCAGGGGCATCATTCTTCTATGAAAGCAATGATATGCTTGTTAAGAATTCAAAAGGGAGAGTTGGAAAAGAGAAAAATTAAGTAGAAATGGCATAGATGGGTTTCCGAGAAGTTATTTAGTGGAAAGGGTGAAAGTCTTATTTGTTAACTTTATCGAAATTTTGGCTCTCATTATCTATGGAATTGTTCTCTTTCCACATCTTGATGATTACATAGATTTTTCTACTATAGATGTGTTTTTGGCTCTCCATAATAGAGGAGAAAACCCAGTACCAACTGCCCTAGCATATACATATTGTGCTCTCAATTTTTGTAATGAAAAAGACAAAAAGAAGTTAGTTATTTATTTACCACTACTCTATGTGTGACTTACCATCCATGTATTCTCTAACAAATGCAACTTGTCATCCCCAATTGCAGATGCCAAATGGAGTTATGTGAAAGTTAAAACAAGTAAAGAGTGGGCACAATTTTTAGCGGATCTCGTTGAAAAGTCTATTCGTTGGTATCCAAGTTGTAACAAAGTGGATGAAATCATTTACCAATGCGAAAGTTTTCCTAATGTGCCACTTATGGGGACTAAAGGGTGCATCAATTATAATCCATATTTGGCTCTGAGACAGTTAGCTATCCTATGTTGAAACCTCCAATAAAAGAATCAATTACATCCTTTGTGTGTGAGATGAATTAATTGAGTCCATAAATGCTTAGAAAAATTATTCATGCTTGGGTAAAGATCGTTAGGAAAGGAAAAGAATTGAGAAAAAGGATTTATAGTTCTAGCCAGAGTTACCGTATTTGGCTTAAAGCGAGAGTTCAACAAGTTAAATTGCTCTTTCATAATTATATTCCAATCATTAAAGAAGCTTAAGTAGACATGGAAGACTTTGAAGAGTTAAAAGCAGTATTCGCAAAGTTCGAAGATGAAAGAAAAAGATTGGAAAAAGAATTGGAAAAGTCTCACCATAACTTGAAGATAGCGCAAGATGAAAATTCTCGAAGGAAAATATCACTAGAAGAGGCAAATGATAAAGTCAAAGTTGAAGAAAAACGCAAGTTAAAAATTCAAGATTATTTCGGTGCAACAAATAGGGAGTTAGGCTTAAGAAGACAAGAGAAGAATGAAACATTAGCAGATGAAGAGCAACTAAAAGAAGAATTGAAGAATGTTAAGATTGTTGAAAAGATGATAAGAAAGTTATTTGAAGACCTCCAGCGACAATTAGAAGGAGTGGTGACCGAATATGGAAAACGGTTAGAGACTAAAAGACAACACAAACAACAAGCAGAACAAACAGTAATAGCTCATAAGAATGAATGGAGAGAGGAAAGGCAAAATATGCAAGAACTGGTCAGATGAATTAAAGGAAAGGAATTTTTCATTGAAGAACTCATGGCAAAAATTTATTCTTGAAAGATAAACTTGTCAAATATACAAATAAGGATCATCAAAAAGCTAGAGAATGATAACATGTTTTGGAAAGATCGTTATCTAAAGTTAGTATGGATGACTGACCAAGCAATCAAGGAGATCTTGAGAAATCTTAGGGAAGTTAACGGAGTGACAAATCTGCTTTATACTCCTGTTGAAGTTTGTAATTTTCTTGAATATTGTAAAGAGTTGATAGAAAAGTTGAAACATATGATTGTAGTTGATGAAGATGTGAAAGTTTGAATACAATGTACTTCTCATTGAATATTAATGAAATTGTCTTGTCTACTTCTTGATTCTAAATCATGAATTTTCAATACTTATGATCAATTTTAAATGCTTACAATTATCCAACAGTATCATCATTAAAATAAAAATAATAAACAACTACATTGAAACTTTATCATTTTATGCAATGCTCACATCATTCTTTTCATAAACAGAAAAAATAATTAATCAAGTGAAAAAAAAGCACTCTTACGACACCCCTACGGGACACGTGCTAAAACTAAGATTATGGAGAGTTGTAGATGACTTAGAATAACAACATGAGGAACTTAAAGGAGAGGTTGTTCAAATCAAAGAGCAAATGAATTAGATCTTGGAGATGCTACAATCATTAAAAGAGGCTAATGATAATTCCTTAAAAAGACCTCAAAACACTCCTTCTCATCCTCCTGGATTTACTCCACCAACACAACCCTGCTGTAGTCATCAACATAATCATGCATGTTACCATAGATTGGGCTCATCAATAGGTAATGGTTCCTCTATAAATTGAAAGGTAACCTTAACAAAAAAAAAAGGGACGGTCAAGAGAAATTCATCAATACAGTTAAAACAAAGCAATAACACATTGACGATCAACAGAAACCCACAATCACAAAACAACAAAACAATCCATAACAAATTATCAATTTGCAGCAAATCAACAATCCACAACAAATCAACAATCCATAAATCTGAAATAAATTTCAGCAAAACCCATAAATAGGTTCACTCTTTATATAATGTTTATGAAGTGCAATGTTTGTATTTGTTGCTCCTATTTGTTGTATGATTGTTGTGACTTCATCCAATTATTCCCCATATTGTACATATTTTAAAGAAAACTAATACAAATTGAAAACAAAAATAAAAATATACCTACCTCCACCACTAGCGACCACCATCGCAAGTTCACTGCACCACCTCCACCAAGTCTCCCTCAACCTGGCCACATAGCGCATCATCTTCTCCAATTCCCAGCACACCACACGACCACTTTCCCCTCACACTCCCACCTCCAACAGCCTTCTCCCTCACCTTCACTCCCATTGCCTCCCTTCCCTTCACCTCACATTCTCATTCACGCTCCCTCTCTCCACTGTCTTTCCCGTCCACTTAAACTCTCCATTTCTCCTCCAGCCACGACCTAACCACTAGCTCCCTCTCTTTCACTACGAACCATGAGCCCTAACCCAGCCACCTGTGGCTTACACCCTCACTGGTGGAACCCTCACATGACCACCTCCATTTCGCCGTCATCGGAACCAACCACGATTAACAATCATACCACAATCGCGAGGCCACCGCGAACTGTCCAGCCAGACCACTAACCTTTTCCCCCTCAACATTGATAGCCTCACCGTGGGTCACCCTGCGCACCACCGCGCCTTACCCCGTCTTCAATCACCTTCATCTTCTTCCTTCAACCATGGCCTCACCTTTTCCATCCCTTCACTGGAGCCAATTCATTCTCTTCCCTAACGTCAACCTTCACTCACGCAGCCGCATTTGCCCCACCCAAGCCTCCACTTTATTATTTTTTTCACTCACGATTTTCACTAGCCCTTCAACCTCACCATCACCACCGCGCTCATCCAGCAACCAAGATAGTCATCTCATCCCCTTCCACTCCCTCATGCAGCCTTTACCCTCACCTTCACTGTCATCCATTCTTCTTCATCCACCTAAACCACCATCAATCGCAATCCCTCTTTCCCCCACACAACACTAGCGTTGACCTCACTCACTCACCTCACTCTCAATCTCATTCCCTAACCTTTCCCTTTTATATCTTCAGTTCACTCCCAGCCCAACCCCACCACACAACCTCACCCTACCTTCCTGAAAGTGATAAAGATCTTATTGAATTACTTTAGCAAAGATCTTGTTGATTTGATGAAGTCAAAAATGAAGTCAAAGGCTACTATGCTGCAGTCAAAGGTTACTTAGATAAAAGGGTAGAGTGATTAGTGAGTCTGCATCTTTACTTAGGTATAATCATTTTTATCTCTCTGCTACATGAGGTTTCTTCATTTAAAAGATTTTGCAAATGCCTCTAAAACGTGTTTAAACTGTTAAAAACAAAGTATTTTGTTAAAAGGTTTTTAAGTAACTATTTTAACTAATAGCATATGAGCTTTATCCACTAAAATGTTCTTAACACTTTTGTAAGAGGTTTTTAACTTATATGTTTTTGAAATAATCGATTGTTTTCATTAGAAGGATTTTTTTAAAACCTTCTGCCAGTATTTTAACTGATATAGAATTGATATAATCGATTAAAATGACTTAGAATATTTTGAAAAGTGTTCTGGCAGAATTTTAATCGATACAAACTCGAAATAATCGATTAAAATAACTTGAAGTGTTTTGAAAGTTGTTCTGTCAGTATTTTAATCGATAGAAATATGAAATAATCGATTAAAACAACTAAGAGATTTTTCTAGAATGTTTTAATCAATTAAAACAAGTATGTTATCAGTTAAAATAACTTAGAAAGTTTTATGAAATCTTTTGGCAGAATTCTAATCGATTAAAATATGTTTCAATCGATTAAAATAACTAAGTGAAATTTTTCCAAAGTATTTTAATCGATTAAAACAGATTATTATCAGTTAAAATCACTTAGAAAGTTTTATAAAAACCTTTAGTAGTATTTTAATCGATTAAAATACGAAACAATCGATTAAAACAAATTGAAGGATTTTTTACAAAGAGTTTTAATTGATATAAACGTTGTCGTATCAGTTAAAACAAATCTGGAAAATAATCAAGAACATTTTAACAGATTAAAAGAAGTTTTAACAGATTAAAACAAGACTTTTAACATATTAAAAGATTATTTTAATAGATTAAATAAGCCAGCAGTTTGGAAAAACTTCTATATAAACAAAGTTGCTTGAACATTTCAAAACACATCTTTTGGCAATCAATCAAGCAATCATAAGTGCTACTTTCAAGAGAGAATCGCGCTAGTTTTGTGAAGTTCTTAGAAGTTCTTTCTTGAGGCAATATTTGCATTCTTTTGGTGAAGAAACTCATTCTGCAGAGCTGCATAAACCTGGTTTGGGTGTTCTAGTTTCTTCTCTTTGTTTCTTTACTTTTCTTTTCTCGTATTGTGGGTGCCCGGAAGTGTGGGCACTTGGTTTCGTGGCTGGAATTTGGTCTGCAGGGTTGTTCAAGAACTGGAAATTGGTTCTTGGTGAAGGTTTAGGTGCAAGGACTGAAATTTTGGTTCTTGTGGTAGATTGAGTGTGTGATTGAAGTTGTAATCTGTAAAACGTTCAATCTAGTGGAACCCAACTGGAATTTGGCTGGAAACTGGACGTAGCCCTGGGATTGGGTGAACCAGTATAAATCTTGGTTGTATCCTTCTAAACATTTCTCTCTTTAATTCTGTCACTGCCTTTACTTTGATTGTTTGCTGTGTTTGATTCAAGAATTGATTAGAACTCTTAATCTTTGAAATAGATAATCTGTAATTTGCGAAAATCTTTCAAAGATCAATTCACCCCCCCTCTTAATCTCAGCCTACATTTCTAACACTTCCTCTCCTACACCCGAGCCACAACTACAACATCCCCCAACCACCATCGCATCAATCGCGAACCACCCTCACTGTGTGATTCCCCGCGCTCTAGCCACCCTTGGCCCAAAAGCTGCCTCAAATCCATGCTCTTCTTACGTGGAATCGTGCCACCATAACCGCACACTACCATCCCTAACCTGCGTCACTCACCTCCCCCTGTGAATGCCACCCTAATCACTATTGTGAGTGTTGTGCCCCAAGCCACCATGAGCCAACCTCAACCTAGCCCTAATTGCGAATCCAGCCACCTCCTCCCTCATGCAATTTCTCATCACGTGTGCTCCCATATGATTCATCTTTATTCTTGCCCATTCAATTTTGTTTGTGTTTGTGTGGATTAATTTGGTTTGGTTATGTTGTCTTTAGTAGATTGAATCTGCTTGGTTTGGTTATGTTGTTTCGAATTTGAGGTTGTTAATTATGTTGGCCTAGTTTGATGTTGTGCAAGTGGTGTCCGATTCTGTTTGGTGTTTGATGTAGGAGTTGAGATAGTTTGGTTCCCTATTGGGGCTATCTGATTTATTGTGTTGAGCTTTGTTATTTTCGTCTAGGTCATGTTCTGTTAGGTTTGGGATTGTGGCTTTTGTTCTCTGCTAATCTCTTGTTGTTCGGGTCTGGACTATGGGTTCCTTTTGCATTATTTTTCTTTTTGTCTGGGTTGTTGGATTGGTATGTCATTTTTCAGCTATTATGCTACCAAATTTTCGTTCAAATTTTTGGTTTTGTTAAGTTTAGTATGTTGTTGTTAGGTGGTAATTTATGTGTTTGGTCGTATTGGTTCAATTTGGATTTGACCATGTCTTTTATTTGTGCGTGGATACTATGTTTTTTTTTTATGTTAAATGATCTGAGGTCGATATGGTTTTGCTTTGAAAGTTTGAGAATTGTGGTTGTCGGCCTTTGCGTCGCATTCTTGTGGCTATCGGCCTTCACATTTCATTCTAGTGGCTATGGACCATGCACTACATGAGTTAGTGGTTTTCAACCATTTACGATTTAGGTAAACTGGGCTGTCAGCCCTTTTACGAGAACACTGGTGCTTATGGTTTCCTACACCACTAAACCCTAGTGTTCATTTTTAATTTTCTTTTCTTTTCAAAATAAATTCTTTAGAGACAAGTATGGTCGTACACGTCACTATGTGTCTTATTTTAATAAATTTTGATGTGCGGGAATGGTCACTCGCATCATCATGTCATCTCCTTTTTAAAATAAACTTTGAGGTACGAGCACGACCACTCATGTCGCCATGTTCTCACCTTTTTAATATAAACTTTGATGTACGGGTACGACTTCTCAGGTCGTCATGTTCTCTCCATTTTAAAAATAAAATTTGAGGTATGAGTACGGTTGTTCATGTCGTCATGTTCTCTCCATTTTAAAAATAAACTTTGAGAGACGGGTACGGTCACTCGTGTCATCATGTTCTCTCTTTCTTAAAAATAAACTATGATGTATGGGTATAAATGCTCGGGTCGTCATGTTCTCCCTCTATTTTCAAAATACATTTTGAGGTACAGGTACGACCACTCACGTCGTCATGTCGTCACCTTTGCAAAATAAACTCTAAAGCACGGATATGACCGCACACTTCATCATATGTCTTCAAAATAGCATAAACAACAAAAATATAAATTTCTTCAAAACCCAAGGAAAAATAATACAAAAACCCTTTCAACAATACAAAAATTTTTCAAAATATTAATCAATCACAAAAACTTTTTGTATAAAGAACTACGTAATCCTGATTTCTCATTTTGAATGAGAATAAGTTAGAGCAAGGTTAATCATTGACGAGCACCAAAAAACAAAACAAAAATTTGTTCATTCTTTTCCTTTTTCCTTTTCTCTTTTTTTTTCTTTGTTTTTTGATTTTGGGGAAATAAATATTTTCAAAAATAACATTCAATTTTTCGCATTCAACTAAGTGTAACTGTCTTAGGATGAACGTTGTAGGATGTTAATATCTTCCCTACACATAACCAACCCTCGGACCCAAAATCGATTTTTGTAGACCTTGTATTATCTTTATGGTTTTCCATAATTTTCTAGAATAAACTATAGTGACGACTCCACTTTCTGATTTTTTGAATTTAAAAATGTTTCATCGCCCCGTCTTGACCGCGGTTGCGACATTTGGTAATGCATTAAATGCAATAGGAAGTAAACACTCCATGAATACATGACAATCATGGTTTTTCATGCTATGAATTCTCCCTTTTTCAACATTAGCACATATTTTTAAGTTGGAAGAATAACCGTCAAGCATCCTAAGTTCTTTTATCCAATGACAAACTACTTTTGCCTACTCAGTAGTATATGTGTAGTTTGCTTTATACTTTAATATTTTTCCATTAGCTTGTGGCTTTAACTCTAAGTATTTGCGCTTATAGTACAAAGTTGTATCTTTTCTTACCTTCTTATTGTCTTTTGTCTTGTCATTTACCTTAATCACAATGTTGAAAATATTATCAAAGAATTTTTTGTCTATGTGCATTACGTCAAGATTGTTTCTTAACAATTATCTTTCCAATATAGGAGATCCCAAAATATGCTTCTTTTTGCACAATTATGTCACTCTTCATATCCTTTTAGTCTTCTCACACCACATTCAATTGCTTTTGACAAATCTTTTACTTTTCTCCATATTTCTATAGGTGTTAACCTAAGAAGCGACCTTTCTATTTCAACTTCCCTTTTCGAAATGATTTAGTGTTCTTTCTAAATGGATGTTCATTTGGTAAGAACTTTCTATGCGAGTCAAACCAACAACTTGTATGCTCATAATTTAATATAAAATATTTTTTATGCTCCATGCAATGCGGACAAGTCATTCTACCATGAGTTCCTCAACTAGATAACATCCCATAAGCCAAAAATATGTTAATAATCTACATCAAACTTTCCCTCATCATAAAATTTGTTTTCTTGAAATATCGTATGTTAAAACACCATGTCATAATTTTTTCAAATCATCAATTAAAGGCTCTAAGTAAAGGTCAATAGAGGTCTTTAGATTAGATGGACCCGGGATCAAGCAAGTTAAAAACATACAAGGCTTTGACATGCAAATTCCATGAGGAAGATTGTATGGGGTAAGGATCACTGGCAACCAACAATAATAAGGTGAAGATGAAGCCTGAATATATGAGTTAAGTCCATCAGAGCATAACATAAGTCTTACATTGTGTGGATCAACAACAATATTGGATATTTTCGATCAAAGTACTTTCACGCTTCACCATCTAGTGGATGGTGTAACACACCAAAACTTGTATTCTCATAGTGTTAACTCATTTGTCTAGTAGTTTGCATTGAAGTAAATATTCTTGGAATTATAGGCAAATAGAACATGGTTTTCACCTTTAATCCCAACTTTGATACTAATCTCTTAGCATCATAATAATTTTTAGCAAACCATCTTTTATACGTTTGACATCCAACAACATATGTAACATAAAGTCTAAGCACTAATCAAGAATGTTCCAATTCGACTTGTAAGGTAAAAGCCTAACACATATTGACAATTTAGAGTCTGTCGCTCCTTCAAATAATGGTTTATTTGTCTTTGCCAACAAATTATATAACTTTTGAGTTGCTTTACTTGGTGGCTCCTTCATGTTAAAACACTCAAGTCCTTCAAATGCCTGATGTTGTCAGAGAAAATTATAGATCATCTCTTGCATTGACATAAATTGGTCTTGTTCAACATGTGTCCCACTACTTGAACTATGTAGACAATTATGGTCAACATTCTCTCTATGTAGTTGTTAATCTACAAAGAAAAATAATGTTTCATTGCTAAAGGACCTAGTGATCCTAAGGTAGAATGCTTCTTGCTCAGATAGTTACTTTCCCATTCCTTACAACTTTACATTTAAGTGTCTAAGGTATGTACTAGTCATCCTAAGGTGGATTACTTATGGATTTATCCATTTAAAATCATTAACAATCATATCATAACATCACAATTTAGTGCAATATACCAATTGTTATATGCTACTAAAAGTGCACCATATTCTATATATAAAACATTTTTTGTTTCAGTTACAAAAACATATTACATGTTGTATTATTATTACCATTTGGAAGCAATAATAAGTGAATTAGTTCATAATTTAATAATGTAGCAACTTATATTAAAAAAGCACAACATATAAAGAAAAATAAGTATTACACTAGAGTTAGTCGTGCATATCAGGTGGTTATTTTAATTGGATTAATAAATATGTTAGGCCAAAGAGGTAGCCCTACATTGTTGAAACTACCACAAACAATTACAAAAAAAGAAAATCCAACTAAAAATAATACAAATTTTTCCATAACAAGCTATAATAATACAACCTTCCATTGTGAGTCTCTCCTAACAAAATATAAGCCTAACATATATATTTTAGCCATACAATGTGGGCATTGACTCAAACAATTAGAAAACAAAAATTGATCTAGATAACAGTAAATAATTTCCAATAATAGGCTATAACAATATAGTCTTGTTGTATGGGTCTTTTAATGTATTGCACCTTACAATCATAACCAATGTCATTTATTCCAAAGAGGGTAGATTTTAAGAACAACAATAGTTTGGACCAAAGTAATTTACTTTTAATAAATTATTAAATGAATTAGGTCCAAATTATGGAAAATTTCATATAAATAGGGGAAATATACATACCTAATTCTCACATTTTCATCAAATCTAACCGTGAATGAATGGTTTAAATCCTCACCCTTCCTCTGTTTCGCAAACACAATCAAATTCAATTAATGCATATGTTCTAAGCATAATAGAAAACTAAAATACAATAGTAACAATAACAAATTTCACATGCTGGAGGACAATGTAAGGTTAAACTGTAATTGAATATGATCTTCTTCCTTATGATCAAACATACATATATAATCCCATACTGTAAACATGTTATGAACTAAATGCGAAAGCGTACCTGAATTATCCATAATGATGATATTCTTTGTAGAGCACTTTTGATTTGATCTTATGGTCTTCCACCTGAATAGCACCTGTATTTCCCTATTGATTTTCTCTCTTGATGGGGATAGAAAGAAAAGAACGGGACTGTAAATGTAATTTTTCTGTGTGCTCTCAGAAGGGGACCATGACCCTTTATATAACCAAAATTAGGTTAATTACTTAAGTTTTAGTATTTCCAATTTGGCCCCTCATCAAATTAGAAATTACTTTATGGTCTCTACACAATATTATTTTCATGACATATGCCTTTAGCCAAAACTTTAATTTATTCAGATCACTTTATTATTTGGCTTAATAAATAATGACCCTAACACATTCAAATATGTATCATATATATACATGACCCAAAATTTGCTAACAATCTCCCACTGGTCACAAATATATATGTTTATACAACCTTACAAATGTGTTAGACTTTATGAGCTCAAAATTGTCATTATATTCCTTTAGCATATTCTAAAAGTCCTGTCCATTAATCATATCGGGATATAGAACCAAACCAGACTTTTCATTGCATCATTGCAACTAAAACCAACAAGATTACTCATCCCGACATAACCAAATGACATGGATTCATCATGAAATGTGTAGCATGAAAAATTACGTGAAGGTGATCTCGTACACGTCTATTTTCAACTGGTCCAAACTTTAACTTATCGAGATCGATATAAAAACCTTAATGTACAAAGTGTAATGAATGAACAAAAACCGCATATCTATAGATAACCAAATATGTCCAAAAAAACAATGTATACATATATTAAATTAAACATAGAACATAAAATATATGAAAATGACTAACTCCCACTAAACCACAAATTCCTCAAACCGTAAAACACCCATGTGAGCAACATGCTCATGAAAGACCTTGGGTGGAAGTCCTTTAGTTAGAGGATCTGCTATCATGGAGTTTGTCCCTAAATGTTCTATGGAAATCTGTCCACTCGTACTCTTTCCTTAACAACTAGGAACTTAATGTCGATGTGTTTTGACTTAGTCGAACTTCGTTGTTGTTGGAATACAATACAGCTGATTTGTTGTCACAATATAACTTAAGTGGTCTTTCAATGCCTTTCACAATTTGCAGCCCCGTGACAAAATTTCTCAGCCATATTCCATGATTCGACGCCTCATAGCATGCTACAAGTTCTGCTACCATAGTGGATGAAGCTGTAAGGGTTTGCTTGACACTGCGCCAAGAAACCGCACCACCTGCTAACATGAAAATGTAACCTGAAGTGGATTTCAAACTATCTTGACATCCTGCAAAGTCCGAGTCAGAAAACCCAGCGATCTCCAACTAGTCTGACCTCCTGTATGTGAGCATGTAATGTTGTTTTCTCTTTAAATATCTCATGACCCTTTTTGCTGCTTTCCAATGGTCCATTCCTGGATTGCTTAAATATCTGCCTAGAACCCCAACTATGTATGCTATGTCTGGACGCGTACATACTTGGGCATACATTAAACTCCCTACAGCTGATGCATAGGGAATCTTTTCCATTTCCTCAATTTCCAAATTTCCCTTTGGGCACTCGATTGAGACTAAACTTGTCTCCCTTAGCAACCTGGAGTATCCCGGATTTACATTCATACATGCCAAACCTTTTAAGAATTGTTTCGATATAGCTCCTTTGTGATAATCCCAAAATACCCCGACATCGATCTCGTGTATCTCGAATTCCTAATACAAAAGACGCATCACCAAGATCTTTCATTTCAAAATTCTTTGATAAAAATTTCTTGGTTTCGTGCAATATGCCTATATCATTAGTGGCAAGTAGAATGTCATCAACATACAAGATCAGGAAAATATACTTACTCCCCTTAAACTTGTGATATACACAATCATCAACAATATTCATCTCGAAGCCAAATGAGAGAATTACTTGATGAAATTTATAGTACCATTGACGAGATGCTTGTTTTAGTCCATAAATGGATTTTGTCAGTTTGCAAACCATACTCTTTGAATCTCCCTGCACAAAATTTTCTCGGTTGCACCATATAAATCGTCTCATCAATGTTGCCATTAAGAAACGCCGTCTTGACATCCATTTGATGAAGCTCCAAATCATAATGTGCTACAAGAGCCATGATTGTCCTAAAAGAGTCTTTCGATGAAACCTGAGAGAAAGTCTCTTTAAAATCAATCCCTTCCTTTTGGGTATAGCCCTTAGCTACCGGACGAGCCTTATACCTTTCCACATTACCTTTAGAATCCCGTTTGGTCTTAAATATCCACTTGCAACCAATGGGTCTCATACCTTCCGGTAATGGGACAAGTTCCCAAACCTTATTGTCTTGCATGGACTTATACTCCTCCTTCATTGCTTCGATCCACTTTTCAGAGTTAGAACCTTGCATGGCTTGACAAAAGTTAACTGGGTCATCTTCCATCATACCATTGTGTTCTTCATGTTCCTGAAGAAATACCATGTAATCATCCGAAA